TTTGCATAGTTATTGGTGCCTTCTTGAAAGCAGAAATTTTCTTAGCAAAGGAATCACTGAAGTTTACCAGGCTGGAAACTTTAGGGACTGGAGATCACCTCTTAAGTGCTTCCAATTCTGACCAGATCTGTGTACATGACTTAAACCTCTGCTTCTAGGGCCATGGACTGAAATTTTAAATGGTGACGGGTAGTTTTTGGTCTCTTACTCTTGGAGGTGTTTGACTTAAGAAATGAAAAGAGAATGATTCTCAGAAGATGACTACCCCTGTGCTTCTGTAAATTAAACCATTTAAAGATAAAAACCTAAAAATGAAGCCACCTAAAACCAAGGCTTTTGAAAATGTTACCCAAATCATCTGTGATCTGCAAGGCTCCTCCTGTTTGTACACAGACTCAAATGTTTTCGGAAGTAAATAAAAGGTGAAATGAGGATGGAGCAGGGATTTTTCCACATAAGGCTATTTCTATTTTGTATCAACTAGGGGCATGAAAAGTTCTCTGAGTAGCCCTATGACATTTCAGAGAAAGAGGCAGTTTCCCAGAAATTCTGTGAATATCCTGACCTTCACAGTGCTAGCATTTCTACATCACTCTACACACAATGGCCCAAAGGCGTAATGCAAACACTGGCCGGTCTCGGCAGTGCTCCACTCTGACCTACTCGGCCTTCGTCACAATTATCCTGGAGGATCAGTGCTCAGCATCTGGGTTATTCACACTGCACAGCAAGCCCTGTGTGTCTACGCTGACCTTACATCCACCCATTCCTGTTAGTAACACTTCTAAAGACATACCATATCCCATAGCTTATAACAAACCCCAAATGAACTCTGGGGGGACTTGCCTGTTTCTCTAGGTATCCTGTCAGCACACAAATGGTTTAGCCCGCAACCTCCCTGCAAGGCTAACGCAAATGAAAATCGTCCCTAAATTCCAACCTGTATCCAACCACGTAACCAATTTTCAAATAAAAGGAACAGTATTTGGGGTACTGCTCAGCCAAGAATCTGAATTAACCCCATGTATACACAACCTCAGTGACAAAGGTATATACTTCTGGCCCCTATGTAGTCCTTTGCTCTAGTTTGGGAACAAAAGCACAAAACCTAAAACTGAGCAGGTGGTAGGAGACACAGCATAATGCATTTTTATGGACCTTCCATATGTCCTTTCCAATATGCAGTGAGATAAATTCTCATTTCACTTACATTCATGCAGTCCCACTCAAATCTCACAGTTTAGTACCATAGCAAAATTCACCTGTGAAAACCACGCTGTCCATGATGCATTCATTTTTTTAAATTAAAACAAAACAAAAAAAATCTCGCAGGCCTGTCCAGGTATCACAAATTTGTGCCAATTCTCATCCCTTATTTAACTCAACCATATATGCCCTGGGTCACCTTGGTAAACTAACTACAGATTTGTATCCCTAATGGCTTCTTCCTTTATCTCAGTTTCTCCAGGCCTAAAATAATGGTAGTGATACATACCTGACTCCTAAGTTGTGACATGAAGCTTAATTCATTCAGCGCTCTTCAACACCAGAAGAGACTTACAGATGAAGGGTGCCATGGAGAAATACTGACCAGCATGTTTGGGTATTTCTTTGTGCAATATGGACTTTTAATATTATTCCAAAATGAACATACAAGCAAGATGTGTTCAGACATCTGTATTTCTAATAACGTTCTCTCAGGAATGTCAAAGCTTAAAATCTAAGAAATAATTGCTCTATAAGTGCATGCTAATGGCTTGCTTTGCAGATGGAAAATAAAAAAATTATGTTTTCTTGTAAGCACAGGGTTGACACTGGTTTATTTCTTTCAAAAATACTTACAAAATCCAGGATTTCTCTGTATACATGTGACCTTGATTCCTAGATGGCACATGGACTAGAGATCATGTTACTAAGTTATTTGCAGTTAAAGGGGAAAAAAAGGCTAAAATTAATGGGTCACTGGGTATTTTCTTCTGAGAACTTAAGTACTTAACAGTAAGAAAAAAACAGTTTACAGCCAGGTGGCTTGAGGGGATATTTTGTTGAACACTGATTAAAAATAATTTCTTCTAAATGAGACCTGACCACAAAATGGGACTATTAACGAGCAGGGACATTCTCACCAGAAAGGAAACAACGCTTGATCAGCTCCTGCACTGCCCACAAACCCCAGGTCTCTTTCTCTCTCTCCCTCGCTCTCTCCCACCCCCCCCCCTTTTTCTCCTCTCCCCTTTTCTTGTTCTTAATAGCAGGGTAAATAAGCAGCAAGTGATGCTGAAATGTTTTCGGCCAAAAACAGAGGCCAAACTCCTCTGAGAAAACATTTGGCCTCTGTGGTTTTGTAATATGTTCCAGAACACTGAGTTCACTGAAGAACATTGTGAAAAACTCCCATCGGCTGGAGTGATGCTGGGGAATGTTACTGTATCCCAACTTCCAATTGGTCCATTTCCTGCAGGCCTTCTTAAAAAAAAAAAAGAAAAAAAAATAGTGCTATGTGGGAGTTAAAACAAGTTCTCATGGGAAAAATGAATGGCAAGAAATTCTAGCTTTAAAAGAAACAGCTAATCTGCTAGTTTGATTGTTCTTCAAAACTTACAATGAACCAATAATCCTAATTAAAAACACTTGGCCTAGTTCTCTAAAGCATCATAGCTTTTTCTATGCTTCGTTTGTACGCACCATAGACTATTAGTTTTTTTCCAGAGCTCACTAACAAAGTGCTGACTTTGTTGGGATGGCTGAGCTAATTTCGTGAACTCAGTGTGAAACCTTAGCTAAACAAAATTGTGGTAATTTTCCTTAATTTGTAAAAGTGATTGGAGTGCAAACAAAATTTTCCTCTTGGGTCAATCCTATAATTTTCAATTAACTAAAACTAATCGGCAGGCGTGTACTGAACCTGCATTTTGTTTAAAGGGCTGGAAGGCACTTCTGAAGGTCAGGATGCATTAATTGTTTTTATTTTAGTTTCATTTAGTCCTTTTTAAAAAGCCACATTTAATTTCAGGCTACCTCTAAAAGGAAAATGCAAATTGTCTGAGGTACGATTTCAGTCACAATAGCTTTTCTGTATCTACCGTAGCTCCATAAAAGCTGCATAAGTAAGAGAATTGTCCATGGATTGGATCACCTTTGATTTTATCATTGTTGTTTAGTATTTCGGAACTTTCATTTATTGAATGAAAAATAATGTGTTTTAAACACTAACCTGAAAATACATATATGGAAACACTCTCCCTACTGGGACACCTTATTTCCACATTCAGCCATCTGCTTCTGGGCAGACAGGCTGAACTGCCGCCCTCCTTTTTACTGGAAAAGCTAATTAATGATGATCTGAAAAGCAAAACCAAAATGGGTCCAAGCCACTTTTACATTAAAATCACAAAACAAAGTCCCCAAAAATTTCTTCGCAAAGTCGAGGCGGGGCAGGTTTCCTCCCTTTCTTCTTCTTCTGCATGCATACTTGCCATTTCACCAGCCCAAGATGTAGCCACCCCCGTGCCTTGACAACAAGCAGGACAGCACAACTTATGTGAGTAAGAAAGTGAGAAGGGAAAGGATTCATGGTCAAACTGTCCAGAGCTCTGGCTGACACTTTCATGTGGTATACACTGGTAATTTGCACCAGCTGGCAATTTGACCCTTTGCTTGTTCTTTTTCTTTTGTTCCAACACATTCAAACCCTAAATAAGTTTTCTGATATGGTGCATTATTGTCCAATATATGAATTTCCCACACATTGTTGAAATCATAATGTTCACAATAAATACACACAGCCTCAAGTGCCTGCTGCTCAGCCAGCAAGGCGATACACGAACAGTTTAAGACCCAGTTTAAAGAAACCCAGTGCATAATCCCAACTGGGGCAGAGGGTATTTGAAAAAGACAAAAAGCTTTATAAGGCACCTTTGTTCAACTTGCTCAGTGTTAAGAAAAATCAAATGAGAGCTTTGCTACCCAGCTGGAGCACAGAAATCTCTCCTCTGCCTCGAGTCGCTGTGTGTACATTCACAGCTGGAGCAATATATGTGCCCAGTGTAATTCAGAATGCCTCATAGCCACAAGTATTTATGATATACCTTATTCTTAAAGTTTCGGGGGCAATCAAGAATGGGGAAAGGGATTGCACTGGATTGTGATGAACCACAGTTCAGGCAAACACTCACAGAAGTAGTCCTGTCTGCATATGTGAAAGAACAAGGGCATAAAAGGACAAGCACATCAAAACCTGGACCAAGCCATTAATTCTTGTAACATGCATACCTTCCAAGGAATCAATGACACACATTCTTTTTAAAAAGTTAGGCTGCTACTTGATTTATTTCCCAGGCCATTCTTATCACTACTGAGAGTGGTTTAACATTGACAGCACCTGCAACGTCCTAGCGAGTTTTTTTGTTAATAATTCTTCAGGCCAAACCACTCGACTTAGTGGTCTCAGTGTGGGATGCCACCCCAAAACACACTGCAAGTCACTATGTGCAGCATCGGCTGGAGTGAAGGCTACTTAGCCTCCCTGGATGTCAGAGACCAGTATGTTATGGTGAGATGGGCAGGCGAACAGGCTGTTGCTTTGAACACTTGCAACACTTGCTGGACAACATGAGATGGGGATATTTAGCAAGACACTTCTTGGAAGGCAGGTTCGTGATTGCACTAGTATGTCTGGCTCTTTATGCTTGCACTCTTCCTCTGTTTGTTTAAGTACTGGAGTATCTGTTTCTCTCCTTCCTCCCCCCTCCTGGGTAAAGAGATGTCCCATTGCGAGGACAAACAAGCAAACGAAAATCCCACACTGGTATGTTTTCAGATTCATCTCTATGAGCATCCATTTCTGAAATTCAACCTTAAATTGGTACCTTTAATGACGTGCTCAGCCAAAATAATAAAATACAGTACAGCTTCTAATGACGAAAGCAGAAGCCCTAGCAAGTGTGATATATTGCCTGCCCTATTTCTCCGTGTTATATCTAGTACTAAAGCATCCTTACCTGTGTAAATGAATCTTCCAGGCGTTCCCTTACAAAACTGCTTAGACTTGTAGGACAATGTGACTTCTACAACCCCTGGGATATGTCGGGGAGGCGTCTGTACGCGGATGGCATGAGGAGTAATCAGCTAGAGGAAAACATTGAGAAGGGAGAAGAAAGGAGAAAAAAGCACTGTTAGATGCCGAACAATTCTTTAATAACACTTTCCTCTCAGATCACAGTAAACAAGTTCCGAAACATGTAATTAACCTGCCAATGTTTGAATACAATCTTGATGTAACCCACACAAAAGCCAGTGACTACAATATTTACAAGCATTCTCCTCAGCCATAACAACATTATTTCTGTTTTCATACACGGCAGGCACTTGCTTTCTAGTACAAGCATTAGCCCTGGTTTAATGCAATAACTTTAGCTTACAGCAGCAGGATGCCTATGTTTGCTCAGGTGAACACTGGGGTCATGACAGTGTCCAACAAATCTGATTGATAAATGATACGCAGTTACATGTGTAAACACGGCACAGAGCAAGCCCAGGCTGAGATTCACCGCACAGCCCAAGCCCAGGCAGGCTTTTAAATGCACTGGTCCCCACCTGACATCTGTGTACTGTAAAAGCACCATGTGCTGCTGTTTTAATTTTCTATTCATTTTGTGGAGGTATAACTGATTACTGCAGAAATGCAAAGTTTGGCTTCTGCAGGATGTTGGATCTTTCCTTGCAAATGATCAGAGCACTCAAAAGAGGTATACCAAATATAACCATCTAACCACCACTTCCAGTCTGCCTTGACTGCAATGACTGACACACATCTGAGAGGGCTCCTGCAGATGTGGATTCACACAGTAACAAGTAGACAAACTTAAACTTTCTTGCTAATGGGGCTGGGGATCCTGATCCTCTTAACACAAAAGGTTGGGGTGGGTCAGTGCTGCACTTCCCAGGCTCTAGATTGACACTTTTGCTCTTTCAGGATTCTGGACTGGATTTAAGACATAGTCCTTGCAATTAATATTAGAGCTATCTAGGAGTTCACTGATTTATGGCAGGTTAACTCAAATCTCTGCTGCACTCAGAAACTACAGCATTGTCCTCCCCATCACTGAAATATCCTCTTCTCACTCATTATGCTCCCTCAAACAAGAATAGTAAAAAGAGGTACATAGAAGAGGTGACATGATTCTGTCCAGCAACCAAGATACAGCTCTGGCACACGGATAATCCTTCTCTAACTGACTGTGGCACATTAACACACTTCTAAAGAGGCAAACAAGACCGAGACCATAACCAGCCTTGACAGTGAGCAAAGCCATGGGCACCCTATGCAGACAGTCAACTACTCTATGCTGTTGGTTGAATCGTGTCCTGGATTAGGGAATACATTTCAATAGAATTTTTTTTTTTTATAAAAAGCTAATTTTATTCTTATTTTTACTAGGAACCAAATATTTCAAAATTATAGTAAGGTCCTACCAAAAAAATCAGACTTTTAATCAGTTCTTTGTTTATGACAAAGGACTGAAAAAGCACAGAAGGAGAGTAATGTCTGTCTGAGAGCCATCTGTGTTACTGAGGGAAATGGCATACACAGTAGGAAGTTCTCCATATTTAAAATAAGAAAATTAATATTAAATCAAGTTGAAGATTAAAACCAAAACTACCAGCATCAAATGCTCCAAAAGTTATTCAGATCCACAGAAGTCATAAGTCATACATCATTTTAGAAATGATCATGTAGGATTGATGCCTT